ATATTATTGATAAGGATAATAATGATGATAATAATAATGATAGTGTTAATAAGTATGTTGATAATGATAACAATGATGATGCTGACGATGCTAATATCTAAGATGATAATAATGTGAATAATGATGATAATAGCTAAGATAATGATAATAATTAGAAAAATTATGCTCATTTCAACCAAAAGGTCATTTCCTTCCTGCTCCTCAAGCGCCCCATCCTTCCGTCACTGCCTCCCGTGACCACGATCAGTCATCGTCACTGCTATGACTTGTAGCTCGTGTTGAGTACAAATAATGAGCAGTAATTCGCCTTCGTGCTTGACGGAGAGCAAGACTCCTCGAAACTCTGCCTGATGCTGCGTAAAGCTTCCCTGCACATGAGAACACAATTAGCTGGTGTCTCTTGCAACAACTTACGTACAAGAACTAGCATGTGCATAGATAAAAACAAAGATCGAGCAATGGCTAAATCATGGTTTGCCTTTTACGACGCTCCTAAATAATGCTCTTACCAAATATTTTTTTTCTCGTCTTGAACTGCACTGAGCTAAACCTTAAGCTAACAGGCAGAGACGGTGTATCCTAGTTTTCTGGTTGACAACAATGTCCATGAGATGGGGGAGGAAAACGGTTCATGAATCTTTTGCGGAGGGTTTCACGAGCAGCCAGCCAGCCCGAGAAGGACTCTCGGCTTGGGAATTGCGTGTCTGAAATATATATATATATGTATATATGTGTGTGTGTGTGTATGTATATGTATATGTATATTTATATATATGCATATATGCTAAGCGTGTGCCCTCTCCCGCCCTTGCAGCGCCCAGCCCGATGGCCGAGCGGCGCGGCGTCAATGCGAGCAGTCCGTGGACGGAGGTGGACACCTTCATGGACTTCCTCATCGACTTGGACGTCGGGATCGCGAAGGAGGAGTCCGAGCCGGGCGAGGACCCGCGGCAGGCCCTGTGGCTGATCTCCTCCATCGTCTTCGTCGGCCTGATCCTCTACGCCCTGTTCCTGAAGACGGTCAGCAACTCCGACATGGACAGCGTGTTCACCAACCTGTACCGGCTGCAGGCCACGGAGGCGCTGATCACCGTGCTCTCTCAGGCGGCGGCGGTGCTGGTGACAGTCACCAGCTTCGTGGAGGGCACGCAGAAGAGCTCGGTGTGCCGCGGCCTCCTCACCGCCGTCATCGCCTCCTACCTGAGCTTCTTCTTCACGCTCATGATGATCGCCTTCACGCGCTGCATGTACGTCATCTTCCCGCTGTACATCCACCACCTCCACCCGGCCGTGCTGCAGGCCAGCATCGCCGTCGGCTGGGCCGTCTTCGCCATCTTCTGCGCCGTCGTCGTCTACCAGCAGGAGATCTGGTCGCTGTTTCTGCTGTACCTGTGCATCGGCATCTACGGCACGCCGCTGCTCACGGGCAACATGATCACCACGCTCACCTTCCTCGTCATCGGCATCACCCTCCTGCTGTACGTGTTCATCCTCGCCATGCAGTACAAGTCCAAGGTCCCGCACCGCCGCCGAACCATGCAGGTGAGTCGAGTGAGTCGCTGGGCCCTGCACGGCAGCGACGAAGGGAAGGGCCTGCCTCCGCGCTCTTCCCTCCGCCGCCCGACGCGCTGCAGGCGAGGCTCGTGGCATCGGTCCCACATGCCCCTCGCCCCCGAAAGCTAACGTCTCCCCGTTCTAAAAGCGCTTTCTCTCGCCCCCGCACAGAGGAACCGCGCCACCCTGCTGACCTGCATGGTGCACTTCGGGGTGCAGCTGCTGGAGATGGTGGCGCAAGGCCTGTTCAAGTTCATCCGCTACCAGGAGGTGTCCATCTGGAGCACCATGTCCGTCATCGCCTTCCAGTCGTTCGTCCGCGTCATCCTCTCGCCCATCATCCTGGTCATGCTGATGCGGCGGGGGCGGCAGGCCAGGCAGTGAACGGAGGGGCGGAAGGCCAGGCAGAGGAGGCTGTAGACTTGCGTGTCTCTAAAGTATTCTGTGTGACAAGGAACTACTTATAAATGACGTGACATTTTCTGTACATATATATGTGAAAAATACTACTAGATTAGTGATTATACATATATATATATATATATATATATATATATATATATATATATATATATATATATATATATATATATATATATATATATATATATATATATATATATATATATATATATAGTATATATAGTGTATATATATAGTGTGTGTGTGACATATAATAAGAATGAAGTCAAAAGAGTATTGGAAAACTTTTACGGGGATCTAAACAACTCAAATTTACAGCCACGGATAAAAGCGAACGCGGAAAGTAGAGACAGAAGAACAGAAGAATCAAAAAGAGCGCTGGAAGGCATGAAGAGAGGTAAACACCAGCAGAAGGCAGAATTAGTATAGACCTCATGATAGATGCAGAAGAAATTGCAACAGAGAAACTAGCCTTTTTTAACAAATGTATATTTTGACTCATGTGTATTTTAATACATATATG